GGAAGAGACTGGGGTATCGTCTTCCTGAGCGTCTATATTTCAAGGAGGAATGAGATCCCAGAACTTGGAAACGCCTATAGGTCAAAATGCCAAGACAAGGAGGGACAGTATCTGGCTCCTGAAGATTTTATTTACATACCAAAGGGCTGAGTAAAGAGAAGAAAAGGGGGAGAGCTAACTCCTTCCCCTTTATAAGAAGGAAAAAACACCATACACACCCTCCCCCAACTAGTCCCATTAAATAATTCACCTGACTCTCATAGCATTGTTCTAGCCGATAAGAACTAGGACAAAGGAGGATCAAATGCACTTATTATTTACTGTGTTGTTCTTAATAAGAAATATGGCCCTGGCTGGTGTGGCTCAGTGGATTGAGTGTCTGCCTGCAAACCCAAGGGCCTCCAGTTCGATTCCCATGCCTGGGCACATGCCTAGGCACATGCCTGGGTTGTGGGCCAGGTCCCCAGTGATGGGTGCGCGAGAGGCAACCAAACTTTGATGTTTCTCTCCCTTTCTTTCTCCCTCCTTTCCCCTCTCTCTAAAAACAGATAAATAAAATCTAAAAAAAGAAAGCAAGCCCTGGCTGGTGTAGCTCAGTGGATCGAGCATAGGCCTGCAAACCAAAAGGTTGCTGGTTAGATTCCCAGTCAAGGCACATGCCTGGGTTGCAGACCAGGTCCCCCAGTAGGGGAGCTGCCAGAGGCAACCACATATTAATGTTTCTCTCCCTGTCTTTCTCCCTCCTTTCCCCTCTAAAATAAACAAAACCTTTAAAAGAAAAAGAAAGAAATTTTTTTTTAATTTAAGGTAAAGAGAAAATCTTGAAAGGAGCAAGAAAAAAACTCATCATTTGTAGGGGAGCAACCAGAAAGATTTCCCCTCTGAAAAATGGAAACTGGAGAGAAATGAATGGGATGATGCCATCACAGGAATTAAAAATATGCACCGACCAAAATTTTTCCGTATCTGGAAAAATCCCTCCTTCAAAAATAAAGATAACAAAGATAGTGGTGGGCAACTTTACAGTGATGAAACTTGACAAACACAACCCTGGCCAAGTATCAAGGTCAATGTCATCAGTGATAGCTCATGTCAATAGCACTTACTCCTCATCTGATGTGCTGGGAACAGTACTTCCCCTCTGTGGTCTTCCTCCCACAGACCCATAACCCCAGTGTTACCACGAGAAAAATATCAAACAAACTCAAACGGAAGGACATTCTGACAAATGCCCTACGAGTACTCCTCAAAACTCTGAAACATCAAAAATAAGGAAAATCTGAGGAACTGTTGCAGACCAGAGGAGGGTAGAGAAACATGATGACTAAATGTAATGTGGTAACCTGAATGAGATCCTGGAAAAGAAAAAAACTAGGAGAAAACCAATGAAACATGAATGAAGTGTCAAGTCTGGTTAATAGTAAAGTGCCAGTGTTGATTCTCTAGTTGTGACAAATGTACACATTTGTGTAAAATGTTAACAACAGGGGTAACTGATGAGAATTATACGGGAACTCTATATGTAGCTTTGCGACTTCTCTGTAAATCTAAAAGCTATTCTAAAATTAAAATTTTATTTTATTGCAAAAAAATCTCAATAGGTGGCTTTAAAAAAGATTTTACTTATTTTTAGACAGAGGGGAAGGGAGGAAAGAGGGGAGTAAAGCATTGATGTGTGGTTGCTCCATGATCACCCCTCACTGGGGACCTGGCCTGCAACCCAGGCGTGTGCCTGGCTGGGAATCACACGGGCAACCCTTTGGTTCGTAGGCAGAAGCTCAATCCACTGAGCTGCACCAGCCAGGGCTCAATAGATGAATTTAATAGCAGATGACATACAACAGAAAACGAGATTAGTAAACTAAAGACAGGTTAAAAGATAATATACTCCTGGTGGATGATCAGAGAGAGAAAAAAATGATAAAATGCAAGAGAGAAAGAGCACACAGACCAGCCCCTAATAGGCATATGGAACACAATACAAATATTAAAGGCAGTATAACAGAGGTCCCAGAGGAGAGGGAAACAGGACAGGACGGAAACAGTGTATAAACTAATGATGGCTGAAATTTTCCCAAAACCGGTGAGAGATACCAACCCACGGATTTTAGAAGCTCTATAAACCTCGAGCAGCGAAACAGAGAGAGAGAAAGAGAAAGAGACACAGAGAGGGAGGGAGGGAGGGAGGGAGGGAGGGAGGGAGGGGAGGGGAGGGAAGGGAGGGAAGGAAGGGAGGGAGGGAGGGAGGAAGGAAGGAAGGAAGGAAGGAAGGAAGGCCACTCCTCAGCACATCCTTCTAAGATGGAAAAGCCAAAGAGAAGGAGAAAAACTTTAAAATATCCTGAAGAAAAAAAATTCCATTATCTTCAAAGGAAAACAATAACATTGACAGCTTTCATCTCTACAAAAATGCAGAAAAATATCTTTGAAGTGTGGAAAAGAAATTAATGCCAACCTAGAATTTTACACCCAGCAAACATATACTCCAAAAGTAATTAAGAAATAAAAACATTTTCAGACAAAAGAATTTGCTGTATATCTACAAAGCCCTTAAAACTGATAAACATTTACATTTATTGACATGAACATAAGTTCCTGAATACTGCTGAATGAAAACAACATATAAATAATACCACTTATATAATTGTGCATATAAATCAATACAAATAGAACACTCTGAAAAACATCACAGAAGATTAGTAGTGATTTCCTGTATTTTAAAGACTTTTTTAAAAATCTAAAATAAAGGGAAAGAGAGGGAGAGAAACATCGATGTGTCAGAGAAACATTAATTGGCTGACTTTTGCACACATCCCAAGTGGGGACTGGGCCGCAACCCAGTCATGTGCCCTGACCGGGAATCGAACCTGCAACCTTTTACTTTGAAGGACAATGCTCAAACAACTGAGCCATGCTGGTCAGGGCGATTTCCTGTATTTTAACAGTATCTCCATTGTTACATTTCTGGCATCTCTTTTTTTTTTCCTGCTGTTCCCCAAAGTATTTTTAAGTATATAATGGTATATTTAAATATAATCCAAGTGAAAAACGCTTTAAAACTGTAGGTAGTATGTAAATGTATATCCAAAAATGAATAATAGAAGGCAATATACAAAATTTTAAAGATGGCTATGCCAGGACTGTGGAATTATGAGCAATTACTCAACTATTTTACAGTTTAGTACTTTCCGTTACTATGTGTTGTATAATGAGTAAATATTACTTTCAATTTAAAGTGTTACTCTTTTATAATTCATAGTTTTTTTTTAAGATTTTAATCATTTTATTTTTAGAGAGAGGAAGTGAGGGGGAAAGCCAGGGAGAGAAACATCAATGTGTGGTTACCTCTCGCGCACCCCCTACTGGGAACCCAGGCATGTGCCCTGACTGGGAATCAAACTGGTGACCCTTTGGTTCACAGGTTAGCACTCAATCCACTGAGCCACACCAGCCAGGGCTAAAATGTTATTTAAAAAAAAAATCCAAGGTCATCTTATAAGTCATGATCCTCATAAATGCAGTGATACCACTGTTACATAAACTCCTTTAATTTTCAGCAAACCGCCACATAAGGTTTTTTCTTAATAATTTTTTATTTTTCTCCCTTCCATTTTTTCACCTACCCCCCCAAATCCACTCTCATTTGGCAACCAGCAAAATGTTCTCTATCTATGAGTCTGTTTCTATTTTGTTTGTTCATTTATTTTGTTCTTTAGATCCCACCTATACATGAAATCATATTATTTGTCTTTGACTGACTTATTGCTGTTAGCATAATACTCTCTAGGTCCACCCATGTCATTGCAAATGGTAAGATTTCATTTTTGATGGCCAAGTATTATTCCACTATATGTACCCGTTCTTCTTTATCCATTTGTCTATCAATAGGCACAATTTTTTAAAGCTGGCTCCATTTAGCTTGTTTTAGCACAAAACTCTCTCTCATCTATGGTTGTGACAGCAAAGTTCAAGGCAATTGCTACAACACCTCTATCATTACCAACATAATTTGTTTTTAAAAGCAAAAACATTTCATCAAAGACTGGCAAAGTACCTCACATGGGAGTTAGCCGTATCGCTGACATGCAGCTTATCCATATAACGTGATTTAATAACAGAACAGCACTAGCACTCAAGAAGTTCCTGTACACTCAGCATTTTGCAAACACATTATCCCTAATTTTCAAAGCAAAATGCAATGCAAGTATAATTATCTACATATTTAAAGGCATACACATTCCTTTCCAATTGCTACCATCTTGAAAATAAAGCATTTGAGAAATAACACCCCTTAAAAAGAGTGACATTTGTTAATATAAATGGTGAATATAATGACAAGATACTAGATATTATATTGGATATTTCATATACTATCTGATGTTTTTCTTCACAGGAATCCAGAAATTCAGATGAGAAAATTAAGACTCAGCTAGTAAGTAGCAGAACTGAAATGAAAATCGTTAAAGTATCTCAGAGCCTTTGCATTTACCACACCACCGCTTTGTTATTGCCAACTCAAGAAGCTTCCTACTATACTGCCCCATTCATGAGGGGTAATCACTCTGGTTAACTGAGCCACAACAGCAAATACAGTCTGTGTAGGGGGCAAATCACAGGCTGAATGATCTATATTTCATATGAACTGTCCATGCAACTACAAAGCTAACTTACTATTTTGTTTCATCTCTGCATTTCAAAATTCACAAAAAAGAGTAAGCTGAAAGAGACTCTATAGTTTAGAAGTGTCTATTACCACTACTGCAAATTAATTAAACAGGTGTCTTACTGCTAGTGAATGAATGGTACATTCTAGTGGGTTCGATGAGCACCAGGAATAGAATTATCATCATCATCATCAAGAATACATCACTTCATTAATTCAACTCATATTACACTATCAAAACTCGTACGAGTATTTCCCACAAATGTCCACACACAAAGACACACACCTACACACACACACACACACACACACACACACGCTCGTTTCCCTCTCTTACCTAAAGACCTGCAGACTGAAACGGTTGCCTCCTCCAAGAGCTTCAGGTCAGTACTAGAAAGACAGAAGAAGAACGGCATTAATAACTGTAACACCAAATATGTACACAGTCACCAGTTAAAGGAACACACAAAAAATAAAAAAGGAATTCAGAAGGAAAATATGATATATATGGTGAACAATAAAACCAGCAAAATAAAATGAAGCTTCTATTTCCAATGTAATTAGGAAATTGACTATAATTCTCAACACGGGGTTCCTGAAAAAGAAGGGCTCGGGCACCCCGCCTTTCAGGCACGGGGCAGGGAGGAAGGCTGGGGCTGGGTACAGAAAAACTCGGTGAAGGCGCTCCACAGCACACAGCCAAGGCAGGGGCCCCGTCTGCCCATGTGCGAGGGCAGTACTGGTGATGGGGTCGATTACACTTATTTAGAAAAAAGTGCCATTATTTTGGGGAGATGGGGATTTTTTAAGTAGCCATAGAAGAGCTGCCTCCCTTCCCTCTGTCCCCTCCCCTCCCCCGGGCCCTGCCACGCACCTGTCCTAATGTGTGCGTGAAGGAAGGAAGAAAAAATATAGACAAGCAATGCGCGGCTTCCAAGGAGTTTAATATTCTAGGAATTGGAGCTACAGGAAGAACTAGCTTTAGAGCCTGGCGACTGGGTTAAAAATTTTGTGTTCTTTTCTGCTAATACACACAGCAGGGCACAGGTAATCCTCCAAATGGGCAACTCTTTAAGGGCTACCTTAAAAATCCCTTCCTCTTAGGGCTCACTGCTGTTGCTACTAAGCACACTTTAAAAAAAAGGAACATAAACATTAAGGCATCTGACAAGAAAATTCTGGAAAAACTGGGAAAACATGAATTGCTTTAGACATCTCGAGAACTACACTGTCCACTATGCTGACCACTGGCCACAGGTGGTGTGGCACATGGCTAGTCCAAACTGAGATGTGCTGAAACGTAAAATACACACCAGACTGCAAAGAACGAAGCTACTTCATTATTAATCCTTATGTCCACAAAATAATATTTAGGACACACTGGGTTAAATGAAATATTGTATGTATTATTAAAAGTAATTTCACCTCACTTTTTTCATGTGGCTACTACAAAACTTTCAAATCCACGAATGTCTTACATATTCCTAATGGAGCTGCTGGAGAAAACGTCTCCAGCAATTAAGACAGTATCACGTACAAAGAGCATTACACATGGTCATACAAAGAAAGCTAAGACCCACTAACTACTTCAGTGGATATGCCAGCACCTTAAGAATCTCAAATTATATTCATATCCTAAAAGATAAATACCTTTTCAAAGTTAAACCTTTAAGTTTCATCTAAGATTAAAATTGTATAGCCAAAATAACCTGGAAACAACCTACAATGAAGTGTTTACAGGCATTAGGTATTTTTAGAGTGCCTGCCCGCCTCCAACTCGTCTGCGGGCTGTGCCCCTGACCCTTCCCTCCCTCTCCCCACCCCCCCCCCAGGGGTGAGCAGAGGCAGACAGGCTCCTCAGCGAGACCCCACTCCCTTGGCCACAGGTGACTGGGTCAGGGATGGACGTCCAATGTAAGTCACACCAGAGTCTTGGGGAATTTAGAACTGAGATGGAAAAACAGGTCTTCTAATGGCTGGCATCTGCATGGAAAGCTGAGGGTCATGGACAGCCACCCCCCACCCACTAAGCGGCAGAGAAAGCCAGTTACTAGGAAAATGAATGAAAGAGCTTTGTGGGGAAAAGCTGCAGCAAACAGGCCTCGCCGGACTCGGCTGGCCTTCGGCTTCCTGGGGCCGGCTCCTCCCAAAGCCTCGCTGTGTTTCTCTGGTCTCGGACTCTAATAGACAGCACCCTGTCTCCTCATCATGCGAGTCCCCCTTTCTGGTATATGCTAAATCAAATTGATTTTTGTTAATAACCAAAAGGTTCTGATTAATAAATCACTGTGGTCAGATTTAATCATACACATTAGTAGTTGGCAAGAAGTGGGAACTATGAATTACTCAGTTTATTGGTTACTCAGGCAAAAAAAATAAAGAGGTATAAAATGCAATGCAAAAGACTGTGAAGAGCTTTATGAGGTTAATAATTAGACCACATGCATCAAAGCTGTTTCACTGGTGCTTCTACTTTCTTCAGTCAATAACACTCTCAAAGCTGGAATCAAGAGCTTCAATTTTATTTATGTGTGTGTGTGTATACATACATACATACATATATATATATATGTGAATATAACCTACAAAAGCTTCTAAATTTGTTCATTCAACAAACTACCCGGATGCTCTGAGCTCTGTGAAAGATGCTGCCTCTGTCTCCAGGCTACATGGAAGGAAGAAGCGGCAGACAACTGGTGCAGGGGAGTGTGAAAATCAAGACCAGCCCTGTACCTGAGCGCACAGGAAGTGCGCCCAACTCACCCTAGGAGCAGCCAAGGAAGGCATCCTGGAGGAATTAACCTGTCTGTCCCGAAGAAGCAAAAGAAATCAGTGGAGCAGACCAAAGGAGAGGGCTTCCCACACACGAGGAATAGCATACGCGAAGGCACGGCAGTCGCAGAGAGCCCGGCACGTTCTGGAAGCAAAGACTGACCACCCTGGAGAAACATGCTAGACGGCTGTAACACGGAGTTCCATATCTCAACTTGTTCTCAACAGAAAGGTTCCCCAAACAGGTTTCTGATTGGTTTCTAATACACTATTAGCCTTAAAAAGGGATTAATTAATTCCACATGCATTAGTGAGGTTCATTTGTACATTATTTCTTCCAGGAAACCTTCTTTGACCAGCTAAGACCAGATGAGAAAGAGTCTGGATTCTGCCCCAGAAGCACCCAGCCGTAAAACTGAGCACACAGTAGCCAGTAGCAGCGAGACTGCCCAATTACCCGTCTGTAGCCTCCTTGTTCAACTGAGGGCTCCCAGCCTGGTACAAAGCAGGCACTTAATAAAAATGCACCGAGTGAATGCATGTCAGACACTTCACTACCAGAGAACAAAATTATGTCCTTCCCCCAGCACCCCCCGCCCCGGGTTCCTCACGAAACACTTGACATTCTCCAGCCCTCAAGGCAAAGTCTGCCCCCAAGTTTAAGTTTTTATTAAAATGTTTTTTAAAACACTCGAAGCGGTCTGGAAAGGCTGGGAATCATCCCACTTCCCTAGGAAAGCTCCCTCTGGTGGTGAGCCAGCCAGCACCTGCCACTCGTGATGAGGCCCATCAGGCTGGGTCTCCACGTAGGGTGGGGGATCTGAAACCGCACCACTGACTCCTCAACAATCCCCACTCCGGGAGGCAGGCCCGTGGAGTGCCCAGGTTCCAAACTCCGTGAGAACAGGGAAAAGCCTCATTCACCCATGCCGCCCGGCCATGCCTGGTCCAGTGGCTCAGCCAGAAGACAAACACTTGGTAATTACCTACCAAATAAAGGGTGTATTACAGAGCCCTGTTTGGGCAGTGTCCCTGCAACTTCTGCACTCTGCAGCCTTCCTTATTCCTACAAAGGAAATCAGCCAGGCACACCCCTGCCCAAAGCAACCCACTGGTTGTTAGAATAGAATTCCTTCACCCCACCTCTCCATCCTCCAGTTTTCTAAACTTCTTGGAACATTTTAAGAATAATCTTTCCTACTTGCTTGATTTAGAGCTAAAATGAGGTGGCTAGCAACTGGGGTGGCTGGTAACCACTGCTGTGTGTGACAGACATCTATGGACGGCACCGCTTTAGTTCAACAAATGAGCTCAGATCTCCTGGCAGCAGGCAACCAGCAAATCCCCATTTGCAGTAAATAAAACTAAACTGGTACCACAGAGTATGCTAACGTTTCCAAGACAATCAGGAACCGAATGCTGTTTCTGAAGGTAGATTTGGGGCCGAGGAAGCATAAAAGGGGCAAAAAGGCAGCAGGCGAACACTCGTACCAATACTGACTAAATAAATGAGCACCACACGAGGTGCTTCAGACTTCCTGCATGTGTACACAAACTCCCCAATTCCAGGTCAGTTTGAAAAATGTCAGTAACGGGAGAGTAAGGCCAAAAACTTCAAACTAGTGACCTGTTGCTCTAACTTTTGCTAAGTGAACTAAACCTGGATAAACAACTATACCCACCCAGAGACCAGGCGTGGCTCCACCGGAAGCAGAAGCAATCCGTTTCTGTGACAGTGTACGGTGCTCCTCCTCCTCCTCAGCCCGAATAAGCTGATTCCAGCAGCGACACAAACAGAGGAAGCCACACAACAGGAGCCCAGTGTGGCTGGTGACACCCCAATGAACAACGAGACCCACAGGCCTGGAGAGCTATGCCCACGAGCCGCACGTATATGTCATCCCAAGAAAATGTAAAATGAGTCTAGGAACTGTTTTCGCAGTTTTAAGAACCTTCAGTGGGTTTCCCTGAAGATAATTCAGCAAGGAAGTGGGTATTCAAGTACAACTAGCCCTGGCCGCTGTGGCTCGGTCGGCTGGCATTGTTCTGGGAAGTGAAAGGCCAGGGACTGGGTTGCAGGTCTGGCCCCTGGCTGCAGCACCTGTGCAAGGCAACCAATTGGTGTTTCTCCCTCACACGGACACTTCTCTCCCTCCCTTTCTCTGTCCCTCCCTCTCTAAAAATAAATAAATAAAATCTTAAAAAAATTTTTCACAACTATAGAGAAACGCGTTGTTTTTTGAGAGAACAAGAGAGGAATCAATTGGTTGCCTCCCACGTGCCCTGACCGGGAATTGAACCCACAATCTTTCAGTTCATAGGACGTCAGTCACTCCAACCAACCAAGCCACACAGGCCAGGGAGGGCAGTTCTTAAACATCACCACTGCCATCTCTGGACCATATTCGAAGTCTGTTCCCTCCCTTACTTTGATGTCACGAAGAGAATCCCCTTAGAAAGACATCTGTCATCAACCTCAACCTCACACTCCCCACATGCTTCTATGAGAACTTTCACAGCAAAATTCCCAATGAATACCAATAACACAGCTGAATTATTTCTAAGTTATATCTCAAATAATCAGTGTAATTATGCCACCTCTACTGAGAACACCAACA